AAGTAATATTTTCAGGATGCATGGCCAGAACCTATGCCACCTCTCGGCCGGATATCGAACTACAGTTCACTGCGCAAGCATCGTCCTGGCGAGTATCACATCCACGATGCGTTCTTCGATCGCTCTGAGGCTCAGCCACGCTTTATCATCAAGCCGTATAGCACGTCTGTGACAGAAGGCCAAAGTGCCAACTTCTACTGCCGTGTGATCGCTTCGTCACCTCCCGTTGTCACATGGCACCATGATATGATGGAACTGAAGCAGAGCGTGAAGTACATGAAGAAGTACAATGACAACGACTATGGTCTCACCATCAACAGGGTGAAGATGGACGACAAGGGTGAGTACACCGTGAGGGCCAAGAACTCATACGGATCCAGAGAAGAAGTCGTCTTCCTCACCGTGCAGAAAAAGACTGAAGATTTCGTCTCTAAACCATTGGAACCTATGCGCAAGGCTACCTTACCAAAAGTGGAGGAATTCAAGGAGAAGGAGATTCCTCCGACCTTCACATTCCATCTGCGCCCACGTCTCATCCAGAAGAACCATCAGTGCAAGCTGATTTGCTCTTTGCAAGGCAATCCAATACCGAAGGTGGAATGGTTCAAGGACGGATCACCGGTGAACCAAGACCGTGTACAAACAACATTCCGAAGTGGAGTCTGCAGTCTGGAGATCTTCAACACCCGACTCGACGATGCGGGCACGTATACCTGCACTGCTACCAGCCCCTTGGGCGAAGCCACCACCGAATGCACGGTCACTGTACAGACGAAGGGCGGAGAGCCAATGCCTCGAGTCACCTCCCACCGAACTAGCAGCTACAGAAGATCAGTGTATGACTCTATGAGTAGCGACGTGGAGCGATCGCGATCCTACGCTGATATTCGCTCCGATTCTTCGAGATCGCGAGACTCATTTGATACACGATCTGCTGCAGATGACCTCAAAATGAAGATTTCTTCTGAGCCGCCAAACTTCACTAGCAAGTTGAAAGATGTCAGTGTTAGCCAAGGAGAGCCAGTAGAGATGTCTTGCGAGGTAAGTGGGAAAAATGTCATACAGA